AGTCCATTTTCCAAGCAGGTTCGAATAGAATTACTCTTGATTGGGAAAAGCTAAAGGATATTGCGCTAGGCATAGCAAAAGGCATAGAATATCTACACGAGGGGTGTGATCAACAAATACTCCATTTCGACATAAAGCCGCAAAACGTCTTGTTGGACCACAACCTCAACCCGAAGATTTGCGATTTTGGCCTTGCAAAGTTGTGCTCAAAGGAACAAAGTGCAGTGACAATGACTGCGGCTAGAGGAACAATGGGATATATTGCACCTGAAGTTCTGTCCAGGACTTTCGGAAGGGTTTCGTATAAGTCCGATGTTTATAGCTTCGGAATGTTGTTGCTCGAAATGGTAGGAGGGAGGAAAAACGAGGATCATAATGTAGATAATACTAGTCAGGTATATTTCCCTCAATGGATATACAATCATATAAATGCGGAGGATAATCCATTGTGGGCAAAAAATGAAGAAGGAAATAGTATAGCAAGGAAACTTAGTATAGTAGGGTTGTGGTGCATACAATGGTGTCCGACAGATCGTCCGTCAATGAAAGCTGTGGTGCAGATGTTGGAAGGAGAATGTGACGACCTTACAATGCCTCCGAATCCATTTCCAGCTACTACAAATCCCATTGATGGAAAACATTATCAAACTCAGATGTCGATCATATTAGAAGTGTAGTTGTTTTCTTTTTTATTTTCCATTGTAAAACTTTGTTGTGTTGTTTGTCAAAATAAAATAAAATAAACTTTATTGTGTTGAAGCTACTAAATTCCTGAAAGAGTTGAATAATATGACCTTTGTTGTTGATATTTGATCCTTTCATTTTGCAAATTAATCAATCAAATCAACCTTAATCTACCTTTATATTTCTATACTCTATTACTATTATTACTACTATCTATAAAAGGATGAATATTAGTTGAGTTTCTTCCATTTTATGTGAGGACTAAAAAGTCCTTAATAATAGACTAGAAGATAAGAGCATACAAGGATATATAATTGGGTAATATCTTAATAACAATATATAAACACCCATATTAATTTGTAACTATATTCCTCGCTGGCTTACATTGAAAGGTGATTAGTACGGCCTGACGAAAAAGACTTGGATTATGGTGACATATAAACCCCTTCTATTTTTTTTTTCTTTTTATATGATTACTTCTATTCTCATTCTTCCTTTGGGTGTTTATGAGCTCCAAATTTATTAATTTGGTGGAATGTTTTGTACAAAAGATTGCAAACTTGCAGTCAAGCTCACAAACTTTCAACTATTAGAGACATATAATACTTTGACGGCAAAATATATATGGCCAGGATTTAATTTTTGTTAATCAGGTTCTTTTTTGTTTTGCAATATTTTTACTCCGCGGATTTAATTTTATGAGTTTTGGTTGTATGGCTATTCGTTTAAGTATTTGATTACTTTCGAAAAAGAAGAAATGAAAGCCAGTTGTTGATTGTTTCATATTTACGATAGTGATTTTAGTGCCTTTGTTTTAGCCCTCTAAAAGTATTCTGAAATATTTCATAGAGACTCTTCTATGAATGAAACGAATTATTAAGATTATGCGAATATGTTATAATTATTATTATTTTTTATTAATAATAATTGTTGTTGTATGTTCGTATTATAGATAGATCAAAATCCAAGGTTTAGGTAAACATGTTTAAAATATAGTTAGTTTGGATAATAAAGTGATCCAATTTATAAGAGGTAGACCTAATGAACTTAAATTTGGTTCAGTCAATTATATTCATAGAAGGTGATGATAGATTTTA